ACAAACATGTTAAATAGATGGCCAATCATTGTTAGACCACCTTTTGAAACTTGGAAGCACTGCATGGCCGTTTCGTCCGATTATGTGACTCATCAGCAGTGCAAAACCATGACTTCCAATACTCGCAGTAATCGAACGTAGGACCTGATTTCCAAGCCTCTCTTAATAACCACAAGGTTAAATGAACACAACAACTTGAATATTGGTGAAAAGATATGAAGTGTGTAAAAACAATGTTTCACTTGAAGGTTATTTTATCAACAAGAAATCAAAGGTACTAATGGTCACGTGTGACCTTGAACTTCTGGAAGTTTCTGAGACCATGCTACAGGTCACTGTCTAATCAAAATCATAGCATGTGATTTTTTTTCTATTTTCAACCACGATTGGATAAAATGTTTGCAAGAGAGTTTTTCAGGCTTCGATATGCTGTTACAAGAAAAAATAATCTGTAGCTCATGAATTATATAAAATCTGTTGACAGCAAGTTGCGTTCTCACACCCGCCGAACAGAAGTATTCCACGATCGAAAATGAGTGCCTAGCAATCGTGTGGGCAGTAGAAAAATGGAGACCGTACCTTTTAGGTAGACGATTTCACATTGAGACTGACCATAAACCCCTGCAGTGGTTGAGAACAGCAAGAGACCTCCGAGGGTCGTTGGGGCGGTGGATGATACGTCTGCAAGAATACGACTTCAGTATCGGCCATGTTCCAGGAAAGGAAAACGTAATGGCGGATTACTTGTCAAGATTAGACATGGAAGCTCACATTCCATTAACAGCATACGTGGTGAGTAGTTTAGTGGGAGACCCATTAGAACTCATCCGGCAACAGAAAGCTGACCCGAACCTTCAAGAGGTAATCAGTGTGATAAAAGAAGGAGCAGACGTAGACAAACGAACGACGGACAAGGAGGTAATAATGTTACTTAGGCAAAACGAACGACTGAGAGTGAACGGATATGGAGTCCTGACCTAGCAAGACGATGACAAGAATTGGGTGGCTGTAATCCCGAAAGACTGGCGGCGTAAGATGACACACGAGTGTCACCAGGTAGCACATACAGGTATCGCAAGAACGACGGATTTATTACGAGAAAGTACATACTGGCCGGGCATGAGAGACGATGTGGCTAAATACGTGTTAACTTGCCAACATTGTCAACTAATGAAAAGCGATAGATACACACAACCGCCATTATGGTCGATCCCAGTAACCACAGTCGGTGATCTATGGTTGGTGGATATAATGGTACCGTTTCCACAGACAGCGACCGGTAATTGGTACCTGCTAGTGATGACGGAGCATGCTACACGTTGGATAGATTCCGTACCCATTGAAGACCAGCGGGCAAGAATAGTGACCGAAGTGGTGATCCGGAATATTGTAGCGTGCCACAGAAGACCGAAAATGATATTAACTGACCAGGGTCCCTGTTTTGAAAGTGACGAGTTTAAAGACCGTCTAAAACAGTTTGGCATCAAGAGGATATGAACTACACCGTATCATCCTCAGACAAACGGGCTTACAGAGAGAAACAACCGGACGTTAAAGGAATGGTTAGCATCTAAAGAAGGAGGTCGGGAGAAAGAGTTACCATTGATTTTGCTGGCGCATCGTTCCTCCATACAAGGTACAACCAAGAAATCACCCTTCTTGCTCATGTATGACAGACAACCGTGACTTCCATTGCACAGTAAGACCTTGCCACAACAACAGAAATGGACAACAACAACTGTTGTCAATTCAAAAACAACTACTTCCTTATTGACTAAGAACTAGTGGATGCCGTGGTGGTTATAGCGAGTAGCGCGTTCAATCACCAAAAATTATAAGGAGGTAATGGGGCAACAACTGTCTGATGAATAGTGATTATTACCCACCTATGTCGATATGAACTAAACCAGGAGAGCTTTTTATGTCGACATTATGGCCACTAGCGGTATTGTTCTGTCCTATCAAAGGACTGATTGAAAAATGTTCACAGGTGTTTTACATTCATCTTTTTTACTGAAAAATCACCGGAAAGATAGACTCAGTGTTACCTTATTGTTGATGTGTTGATGAAATCACTACAGTTGTTTACTGCACAGTTAAATCATCAATCAATCATTGTTGGATCACCATTAGAAACTTGAAAGCACTGGACGACCATTTCGTCTCACAAAGGGACTCATCAGCAGCGTGCATCCACGGCTCTTGCACCTCGCAGGATTCGAACCCAGGACCTTCAGTCTTGTGTGGGAACGCCTAACCTCTGGACCACTGAGCCGGCATCCAACGGTGTTCATGTCTAACTCTGATCAATCTACAGATTTTGCATGACTTCACCCATTTGTCTTTGGTAGTTACTGCCTACTACACCCTAACAGGGTTGACCTCCACTGGTGGTCACTCACGTCTTCTCACCTAGAACTCCATGGAATTTCATCACAAAAGTTACTACTCACCATTAGTGACCACATTTTACAATTTTTCTCATAGTAGTCTAACAATAATTGATTGATTGATTGACGATTTCACTACGCAACAAATACTCCACCAAAATTGTTTAGTTTTAATAAAAACTAATTTTTTTAAATGGCAAATTTACTTTGAAGTTTTGAAAGCATCACTTTTTTGTTTGTTTCTTCTTCTACACCGCAACATTGAACATTGTTGAATTGAATGCGGTGGTGATTTAGTGTGATTTTAAAGTCAATTTTTTTTTTCATTTCAAACAAAAAGTTTGATGATGATCTCATGACATTTTCTTTGCTTTTATAAACGTAATCATATTAATTAGTCACAAAAAAGATATTTCTCTCTCTATTTATAGAATAGAGAGAATCGGATTAGCTACGAAAATCTAAGACATTCTTTTCTTGCACTATTCATGAGTCGACAGGAGGATGTATGATCTGGCTATTAGAAGTGGTTGTAGTGGACGGTGTATACTGGCTTTGAATACAAGAATGAATGTATCTGACACGGAGAATCAAAGAGACTGACCATGTGCTGACGCTTCAACGTGAACAGTTTGGCTAAAACACCAAGGTACAGCCACACACTGATACCTGACACCTTGGTGGACCATTCACACCATTTATATACACTAGTAAATATATATAGGGATTATTTCCGATTCATGAACGTGTCAGTCAATCAATATGCACCACATGAACAGTGCAATTTGACCCATCCAGCTAACATGACTGACTGACACATTATTGATTAGCAATGGTGATATGTTACAAAATACAGCATCGCAATGACAATCAGTCAGTCAGTCAGATGCAACGTAGAACTTCATACGTAAGTACATCAGTTCATGTCGCCATACCACATCAGCACAGAGAGATATAATTGTCAATTCAAATCCAATAGTAGAAGAGGTAGTAAAGGTATTAGAAGTAATCGAAAGAGGTTAGGATTAGAAAGATATTATTCAAGAAGTATGATGATTCAGTGAGATTAAGTTTAGAAAGTACAAAACTAGAGGGGTTGAAGAATCTAGAAGATTAGGATTTGAGAGAACACAAAGAATAAATGCACCGGCGCCATTGCGAATGATTTTGAGCCATATAATTCAAGGTCTCTAACCATCGATTCTTATAATCTCGCGGACCCCAACCAGGTAGGTAGTCGACACCTACCGACATGGCTAAGTCCACTCGTCAATGACTTCATGGATTTGCTGCCATGTTTTGATTTGGCCGCCCCT